AGAGCGGGAGCTGAGAGGGCTTTTCTTGCCTCCTCCCTCCCCGCTTCAAGGACTGAGCTAAAGCAGCAGGGAAGAAAGAAGGCAAGATAAATTCAGTAGGGACAAAACTCAACAAGCTGAAGCGAGATGGATTCTGTAATGCATTTGGTGTGCCGTCAAATCCCATCTCTTACCCCAGGGGAATCCCAAATACACGAGCACATCGTCAAGCCCTGTAAACTACATTATCGGCATCTTCCTCTGGAAAACATCATCACGCTAATCCATTTGTCCTGGCAGCCACATGATTAAAGTTTGAAAACTAAATTACACACGTTGCTGCAAAAGTGTAAAACCAGTAATGGCTCTCCTCTAGTACATCTGTAACCTCTGTTGTAACAGCTTTAATGAGCTTTCAGCCTCCTCATCCAAAAAGAAAAGATTATCACACGACATTTTATGCTATAAAGGTGTTCTTCACGCTGTTGGTGGCCAAGCACCTGCAAGGCACCCGCTGTGAGGAGCCGCAGGCTGGGCACCCATGGTGGGTGGGTGCCTTACCCAGACCTGTGGGACGGGTGTTCCCAAAATGGGGCAGGGGGTGCAGGCCCCCAGTGCAGGCCCCCGCAGCAGTGGGAGCCCTGTCTGTCACGTGCAGGCTGCTGGAAACGCTGTGAGGGGAGTGGGTACCTACCCCCATTACGTAGGACTATCCTATGGTGTGGAGTTATTCCAAGATTGCGTCTTAATTTAATTACAGCCTGCAAACTCTACTTTGATCTGCTTTTGTTTTTTACTAGTCCCGTATTTAACTGACCTCATCATCACAAAGGCCAGGAACTGTTGCACTTTCTGTGCCAGGCTGGGTTTCCTGTTGAACGTGCAAAGGACAGAGCTGCACGGTGGGTTTCTGGCTTGCCAGGACTGGGGATCCTGTTATTGCCAGAGATAAAGGGAGAAAAGGAATCTGAAGTCAGTGGATTTCTTTCCCCAAGCATGTGGCCAGACCTGAAAATCCAGCTGCTTGGCTTCTTTTGTTTACTGGTTTCCATGTCTGTTGCACCGTGTCCTGGGAATGTGCAGCAGGACTCTCTGCTTCTTCCTGGGAGGCCTGTTGGGTGGAAACGGAGCTGGTTTGTCCCTTCCAAAATCTGCAAAGTGGGACCTGCTTTGCCTCGAGGTTTGTTTTGTTTAATAAGTGTTTATCCTCTGTCTGTATCCCAGGTGTCACCTTCAGTGCTTTGCCAGATGAGAGACTTGCTGGCCATGGGCTCTCCCACTTGGTTCCCTGCTTCTGGCTGCAGACCCACGAACGCCGCTGTTACCCCAAACGCAGCAGAAACAACTGTAAGTGCAGTTCCCGCTTGACACGAGAACCTCTAATTTGGGCTCCCAGGCAGCAGAGGTACAGAAACTGTCCCTGCTGGGGCTGTGCTTCTGCCTTGGGTTAATCACCTGGTGGGGCTGGGACCCAAGGGCTGGTGAGCCAGTTTGGTGGTGATGTGGGCTTCATTCCCGCTCACAAAACTGAGCCTGGAAGCTGTGCTGATCGTTTGTGTGAAGCTTTTTGTCAGATGCTTTCAAGAAAGACAAAGAATCTTAAACACTTCGATTTTCATACTTAACAGACCACACTTGTGCTGACAGTACCTGCTGGCAATAACCTCTCGGATGGGAACAGGAAAAAACAAAAAATAACTCAGAAGAATGCTTTGCCAAAACAGGCTTGACAAACTTAAAAAACGTGTTGGAGGAGGTAAAGGTAATTTGAGTGAGTGCACAGGTGATATCATTCTGTCCCTTGGCATCCCCTCCCAGAACTGCAACGTAGCTATGGCAGCACGCTGTACTTGTGGGATACTGACATATTTATGTGTGGTCTTCTGAAAAAAATCTTAAAACCTGTCCCTTTGCTTATAATGAAAGAATTCATGTGGTTTTTAATGTTGTGCCTGCCCATTTGGATCTGCAGTGAACTCACTCCAAAGAGAGATGTGGGTTCCTGACACCTCAGTGTCCTTTGCCCATGTCTCCTGGAAGCAAAGGGACCTGGTTTGACTTTTCTAGGGGTACTGGTGTTCCTCAGTGCTGAGCTCTGCCCATTGAAATTCTTTCTCTCTGGGCCCTCACTCCCCAAAAGGATTCATCAGCCAGAGGAGCAAGCGGGATCACAAAAGGCCTGGACCACACTAGGTCATTTCTGGGACCGTCCTGCCAGCGCCCTGCAGCGTGCGGAGCTCTGGTGCAGCTCAGCATCCCCGCGCCATGCCTCGTTGCGCAGTGCCATCTCCTGGAAAGCTGTGCCTGAGCTGCACGCACCACACGTGGAGTTTCGCTGCTGAAGCAGCCAGCGGTGCTGCAGGCAGCTTGGCCACTGCCTCTGCCGCAAAAAATTGTCTTCTGACCCACCAAGAGCCCCCTGCAAACTTCGCTTCCTCCAGCAGTACAAAGGACACCACGCGCCTGCCAGCTGTTCGCCCTCAGCTCGGAGGTATCCTGCGGCAGAACATCTTTCCTGCTCTGGATGCCAAATACAAATCTCTAGGTATGAAGAGAACCATAGAGGAGAACAAATGAACATCTGTAGAGGCTTCTCCTCATCTCTTGTTCTGCTTGGGCGCCAGTTCCCTGTTCAGTTGAATGCCCTGCAAGTGCCTCGTTTACCTCTTCCTCCTGGTTTTGACTTCAAGGGACACTTCTCCCTTCCTCTCTAAGTTTGATGACCTTGTCATGAGCAACAACCAAGCCCCTCGTCACAGTCCTCACCCTGTATTTAAAATATTGCCACATCTTTTTAATGAGACAAAAAAAGTGTATGTGCAACGGGCACCTGAATACTGCTGGCTTGACTAAGCTCTATATTTATCCTGAAAAGACAAGAAAAACAGGCAGTTCCAAGGGCAACACATTACTCCTCTGAAACCTGAACACAGCTTAAGTGCTTACTCACTGAAAAAAACACACACTGCAATTTAAAGCCAAAGGCTGGTACTTCATCCATTATTTTAGGCTCTCGTGGCATCTCCTGAGCAGTTGGGGGATTACTACACTTCAGTAATCTGTCACACACACTGAAATAACCAGTGCTCCAAGGTAAGGCTGTAAAAGCTAGTATTTAAAAACGACTATAATTGTATAAATACAAGGCCACAAAGTTCGCAAACAAGAGAAAAAGCTGCTGTGTCACGTGGCTGTTCACAGCTTGCTTTGGCCCTTTCTCAGCGAGGACTCTGTGTTGTGATGAAGAGGATTCTGTGTTGCAAACTTCTTATCACAAACTCGTTTTTGCCCTGAAGCACACCGATGAACCGAAACAGCCTGCCTACCAAAAACGTATTTTTTATTAAAATTCATATTTGTAAAGGAGATCATTACACAAATGAGGTAAACCAACACATATGACATAGTTTTCACTTTAAAAAATAAATTTCAGTTGAGCAATTGATTTGATTCCACAAAGTCTGAGAGGAAGAATCAGGTGAGCATGGCTCAAATGGAGAGAAGCCGGACAAGGTGGGAAGACGCAGCTGATGCTGCCCTGACTCAGCACAGAGATGTTGGCGCCGGAGGGTCGGGAGTCTTCCAGGGGCGAACAAAGCCTTCTGCCGTGCTGTTCGCTTCTCTCTCGTCAGCCTCGCAGGCAGGAGATGAGTAAAGGCCAGAGACAGGCAGCAGTCACCTACTGGGGTCCCCCATCAGCATCCTCCCATAAAAGGCCGTGTAAAGGCTTAGTTGGATTGTGCAAATTCAACCCCTCATCAGTTGTTGCTCCCCACATCTTAGCCCTAAAGGAGACTTAACAGCAAGCAAACACTAGCTCTGAAAAAGTTCCATTTCAAAAGTAATATCTGGCAAGAAACAACACATTCTGCGAGGTTCAGTGAGAAGAAGAGTTAGGCTTCCTTCTTTCTCTTTCTTCTTTTTTGAAGTGTGCTTCCATGCGTGTAAAAGTGGAGCTTTTAATCTAAGAGTTTATGAAGCTACTGCAGGTCTGCGAGAATCACGTTTACCAACCTGCGAAATTCAGCTTCCCCACTGAGGACCAAGCTTCACAACCTGAACACCTCAGAGAAGAGCAAAGTGGCTGCAAATGGTATTTTACCCTGTATAACGGTAAAAAAAACATACTGAGGTGAACCTCATAGCTATTTCTCACAACGCCACTCAAAGGCAACCAGCTGACCCGCTTCTACCTCCTAACAAGAACAGAGCAAAGCCCACCGCCGCCAGCAGAGCCAAGCAACGTGCCAAAATTCACTCAATTGTATCAGTGGCTGAAAAACACCTAAATGTTAGGAACACTGCGGGGATGAAGCTCTGTAGTCCAGGTCCACTTTGATGCATGAAGGTACTATGGAGGTGATGAACTATGCAGAGCAGACAGAGATGGAGTTTCACCTGGTACACCCAGACGAGTGAAACTCATCCAGGCCCTTGTGTATTAACTACGCCAAGACACAGGATACGTTGCTTCCAATACGTTATTCCAGGACAGCATCTGGTAAGCAAGACATGAAATTTTCATCACATCTGCCAAATTTATAGGGAAATCTCATGACTGCACGTAGAGAGAACATGAGGGGTGAATGCACTATTTTAATTTCATTTATATCCTCAGGGGATGTGGGTGGGATTTAAGCCGCACATAAGCTTGGTGCTGGTCTGCATGGGCTGGATGTCATGCTGCAAGAGCAGGATCCATAGCTCTCAGCGCAGAGAGAAGCTTCTACCACATCCAGTACCACGCTTCTAGTAAATGCTTTAACATTCACCACCGTGCCCAACAGTCTGTGATAACTGTACCTTGGCAGCTGCAGTCCTGTGATATCGCAACAAGACCCCCTAAGTCTGAAGTCAGTTAACGGCTATAGATCTTGAGAAAGAGAGGTTATACTTGGGAGAGTTTTTTTCCAAACAGAAATAAAAAAATAACTGTTTTTTTTAAATAATAAATCTACTGGTTGAGGAGCTAAAGCAACTGATGTTAAGTTCCTGGTTTATTATTCATCCTGCTACGGCTCTGTATGACGAGTCTGAAAAGGCAGATTAACATAAAATTAGCTGAGAAAGCTGTTTGGGCTCAGCAAGATGCCAAGGCGAGCCATTTCACACCGACAAGAGCTAACACCCCTGGCTCCCAGTGTCCACTGGAAGCACAAGAAGGTTTTTTTTCCAAGAAAGACATCCCATCACTGTTTCTTTCACTGGATCATGCCATCTTGCTGCCCTGTCTGGCTGGGGTCAGCGGTGACTGACGGACTGGGTGTATTGCTCTGCAAAAATCGACGGAAGTCCTTAATCATGGGGCGGAGGACCTGGATGAGGGCACTCAGCGCCGCCTGCGTTCCTTCCATGGCTTGTGCCTGTCGCTCCTGGGCGCAAGCCTGAACCTCCTGCGAGCGCCGAATCATCTGAAGCAAGTCATTCTGCTGCTCCAGGTGCTGGGCAATTTCCTTCACGTGCAAGTTGGTCACTCGCTGCTCCTGCAAGAGCTTGGCTGAGTTCAGAGCAATTCGGCTTTTCAGCTCCTGGGGTTTCGCAGACACTTCGTGTTGATGCGCCATCATCTCCAAGGGTGTTTCAGCGGTGACTGTGGTGGGGGCTTCCGTAGTGCAGTACTCCACAACTCCGTCCTCCAGACTGTGGTAAGTCGTCTCTGCAGGAACTGAGAACAAAGGACAGAAAAGGGGTAAGAAGTAGCTGCAATACGGAGATTTTTATCTATAGGACTATTCAATGAATATCACAAGAATAGAGCCTGCTCAGTGAGATAACATACAATGAACAGCAATGCACAAAATGACCTATTTAAATCTACTCCACCCTCATTTGAGCTTCCTTCTAGGCTGTACAGTCCAAATGGTACGCCTTATCTGTCTAGACAAAAATCTTTTCTCAACCTTCAGTTCACAACAATCTTTCCAAGCGGCACTAACCAGCTGACAGAAGGGCAAAGACAAGAGCCAGAATGCCACTTGTCAGGACAGCTGCTCTTTGGGGCAGACCGGGAAACCAGCCTTGGAGACGGTTCTCCCCAGAAGGGGAACAAAAGGATGAATCTGCAAGGTGCAAAGGATACTTGTTCCCTTGCCCTTAAGGCTGAACTCAGCTATCGAAGCTGACTTTCAGCGCGTGCATATCTTGCAGCCACTCCCCTACAGCAGGAGGACATACTGGGAACGGCGTTTTTGTTAGAGACACGAGAGGTTCTTTTTGCTGGGGCTTTCCCCATGCAGGGCTCAGGCCGTCCTCGTGGGCGGGTGTCAGGGCCCCTCCGTACGGCCTTCCGAATTCAGCACAGAGCATCTGCAGCAGGCGCAGCACTCACTCTGGGTCAGGGTGACTGTGGTGGCTGAGGCGGTGATGGGTATCTCGGTACCGTCACCTGCGCTGCAGTCCCCACTCGGCAAACTGATGATGGTGGCTTCTCCCAGCAGGTTGCAGATGCGCTGCTGCATGGGGGTGAGGATAACCGGGGCGGTCGCAGCACACGTCGGGTCTTCGCTTTCCGGCCCGTTGCCGTTGCCGTTTTGGCTCTCGCCTCCCCCTTCCATGGCAGCTCGGACTTGGGCCACTTTGCGTCGCACTTCAGTCTTGAGGTCGGACCATTTCTTCTTGACCTCGGGCAGCTCGCGATGGCAGGTGGCGACGGCGTTGACGCGGCGCAGGATGTCGTGCCAGGCGGCGGCCTTGGCGGCCAGGGGCA